GCACTCTGGCCTATTCCATAAGCGCTCCATCCCCATCTTCAGCAGCAAGCGAAGAGTTTCAATTTCGATGGTACCAGTAACTGTTTGATTGTATATCCGTTTCCCCCTTCCCTTGAATTTGGGGCGTCGGTCAGATCCCCTGGTAACTTCCCGCAGCGCCATTCTCCTCAGACCGTAATGATCTATTTGTGTCTCTCTGCATGGGGAAAATATAGAGAAACGTAAGATTCAGTTAAACAGTCCAAGACTTGAGGTCTGTTAGAGCATTGAGCAGAGGAGACCGTGTCTGGCTCCAAGTTAAACTTATAGATACGGACGTCGACAAAGGGACGTGCTGTGCAGTTCTTCTTCTTCTTCAGCGATCTCTGGTCATGCGCATAATCCACTGTGGGTCATAAACTGGGATGTCTTTTCAAGGTCTCTTAGGTTTCCCCAAAGCTTAGTTGTCTGTTCTACTGGGTGTTGCCACATGTCGCTCCGCAGCTCTGCCAGGAGAGGACAGTCTTGCAGGACATGTTCTGGAGTCTGTTCAGCACGAAGGCACTGGCAGAGAGCTGTTTGGCTCATACCTAATTTATATGAGTGTTTATTGAGTCTGCAGTGTCCAGTGCGTAAGCGAAAAACTGTGACTTGGTCTGTTCTCTTCAAGTGTTTCAGAAAATCTGTCCCGTAGTTATAACCAGTGTTGGTTTTCCAATATGTTTCTGATTTTCTCTTAATGAGAGTTTTGACTTCTGGAAAAGATAGAGGCTGGTAGGTCTGTGGTTTGTTACTGCCTTCCTTGGCTAAAGCATCAGCGCTTTCATTGCCTTTGATGCCACTGTGAGATGGAATTCACTGCAAGTGAATTTCTGCCTTTTTTTTTTTTTTTTTGACAACATAGCAAGTTCCTTTGTTAGACTTTGTAGTGTGCTGTCGGTAGGTTTAGACTCAAGAGCCTGTATAGCTGACAGTAAGTCAGTGAGAAAAACCATCCTGCCTGCGGTAATTTGCAGATTGTTCATATACTGTGCTGCCATCAAAAGGGCTGAGAGCTCTGCCTTGTAGTTAGAGCAAGTTCGTCCGGTGGGGGCTGCCAGGGACACAGTAGTGGCAACTGGGTGTTTTATGTAAACACCTGCCCCACCATTCGTAGTTACCTCTTTTGCTGATCCAGCTGTGCAGTTAACAAATGAGATTTGAAGAGCGAATCTTGTCTAAACTGTATTGTGACATTCCTGTTGGAAAATAAGAGCCGAAGCTCGACTTTTCGTTGATGAATCATGTTATAAACACTGGCGTTATGCCGATAGTTTTTCGTATTTCTGGGAAATTGTTGATGTTCATTCTATACGCATTAATTGTTATGTATGCAAAAGTGGTGTCAACACTGAATTTATTTGTAAAAAGTATTCTTGAATGTGAATGCCAGGACAACAACTGCTCATTAGAAATCTATTCCTAGACTACTTATTAGCCTTCCTTTCGTCACGTGAAACCTTAGTAGTGATTTCATCATCACCTGATCCATAGGTTTTGTTGCTAGGGTTTATCACTGAAAGGACAGCGCAAGCAAACTGGTTGACCCTCAAGGAAAGGCAGGGGGTGAGAGTATGGGCATTCTCCAGCATCTAAGGAGGCTTCCAGCAGTTCAGAGTGGATACATGGTGCTATGGTACTGATTTACCCAAGGAATCGTCACGTCCTGCACATGACTGCTTATCCTCACATCTGTATATTGAGCCTTGCATTCATAACGGACTGTGCGCTTTAAGGATCCCCAGAAGCAGTTTGCAACCCGAGACTCAGTTTCCTCTGCACAAATGGGCACATCATTTCCTCAGTATGTTCGACTTCTCTCTTTGACCGTTCACATGGATGCCCTGTGGCAATTTTTTTGTGGCAGTTATGGGAAGCATGCATCAGGCTTGGCATCCGTGTGTGGTCAATACACTCCGACAAGTGTGGACACTGGTAGTGGGCATTTGTGTGATAATGTAGGATCTGTAAGCGAGGGACATCTGAACCTGTGCTGCCACAGAGTGGGACCCTCGATGGATGGACACTGACCCTAGGCAGTTACATAGAAGGGGTCCTACTGCCACCTTAACAAGCATGTCGTAACAGTCGACTAATTAGGGGTTTTCTTTAAAGTCAGAGTGCATCTGCTTGAGAGGCAAGGAACCAACAGCTTGTGCACATATAAACCAGACCTGTAAAACAGATATGCATGCAAAACTCAAGTACCAGAACAAGACTGAAGTCCAGAACTGTCCGTCTGAGTCTACAGTAGAAAAACAAGATTGTTATGGCCTGGAGAGAAGGAGGCACCTGGGTGTAACCAGAGTGTCTGGCCGGCTCACTAAACTCAGAGGAATGGCAAGACAGACATATAACCAGATTGTGACCGGTGGTACCATTAGTATTGGAACTCTGCGCTGGCTGCTGAAGATGAGGACAGAAAACACATGGGAATGCCCCGAGTGCTGTGATGTCAATTCTTGACTCAACTCAACTCAACAGCCAGTGAATGCGGAGAAGAAGATATAGTTGGACTTTTCAAATATAGACAATTGAACATGAGTTTGTCATTTAGTAAGGGACTCATCCAGCAGACTTCACTCATGTTCCAAACAAGTTTTCCCTCCAGTATGGTTTTTAAAAGAGTGTTGTCCCTGTGTGATTTCCGGGGTCCCACTGTGTGAAAAACAAGAATAGACCCACTGCCTCTGAAACAAGTATTTCGTGAGATTCGACTAGCTGGAGGTTTTCTTCAAAGTCAGAGTGCATCTGCCTGAGAGGCAAGAAACCAACAGTCTGCACACAACACCCAGTATCTAGAACAAGACAAAGCCCAGACACGTACGAACAACTAGAACTTTCTGCTGGAGTTTAAAACCTGTGAATGTGAAGAAGAAGTGTGTTACACCTTTAGTGTGGCTGAAATACTTGTCTCTTTTTGAATTTTTTTTTCTTCAACAAACTTCTTTTTATTCCTTAGTTTCTGCTGAAGTTTTTTTTTTAATGATATGACCTACTCTTTTGTATATCTACACATTCAGATCATCGGTCTGACTTTTGAAGTGCTTGCTCACTGCCCAAAATACTGTGGCATTCAGTAAGGTTGAGCGTGCACAACATGTGACAATTCTCACTTTCAATGTGTTATTTATTTCTTTAGATATTTATTCAGTAATTCTGATTCTCCTGAATTCTGTTTCACTTCTGCATTCATCTATAATTACATGTCTAAGATAGTATAAGCTGGTATTTATTCCAATATATCTGTAACAAGTGTGATGTTTAATATGGGCTCACTGGTCCATGCTACTTATAACTGTAATAAAACACAAAAGAATTAATACCTTATCCACATTCAAAGACCTAAATTTATTCATATAAAGATCCCTTGCAGGTGTTCATATTTGTGACACCTTTATATAAAAACATGTTAGTAAATAGAACAAACTGAGGGTCTGCAGAAATCTGATGTGTTAGGTCAAAAGTAGGGTGACCCTATCATTAGAACGGTATAGTGTTTTAGGTAGGCCAACACAATCCCATCAAAATTCAACAATAAATTCCATTGTTCTAGTCGACGCTAAGTATCGACGGGACGGTCTGGGTGTACCTAGAAACAAAACAAAAAAAACTATCCGGGCAAAAATGGTCACCCTAGCCAAAAGGGGCAGATACTGCGGCTTAGCTGTAAACCACAACATAATGTGGCAGCCAGCCTTTTAAGGGCCATCAGAAGAAGCAGAAGAAATTCACTGTTCTGTTGCAAAGTGGGATGCATGTCTTTTTTTTTTTTTTTTTTTTTGGTAAAATTATTCACTTTACCTAAACAATACTTTAACTATGACTGAATCAAGGATCCTCATATAAAGAAACTGGTTTCCAGTATCCATTCTTCCCCTTTAGGCAATGTTGAATGTTTGTGTGAATTTCTTCCATGTTTTATGTCAGCATGTAGTCTCATCATTGGTAGATCACAAGCCAACTTCAAGTGGCACACAGTTCAGCTCCACAACTGCTGGTTATACAACCAGCTCATTAGCGGTTGTCAGACCTGGTCTCTTAGGCCACATCCATGGGCATAAATATACAAAACATGGACTTCTTTATGAGTACCGCGTTTCAACATTGTACCTGCCTAAGGCTCTGGTGGAGTGGGGAAGGATGAGAGAAGCCGCTCCACTAACACCATTTAGGAAACTACACAACACTGGCATGAATTCGGTGCTATGAAACTGTTCAATGTTTTGATACAGATACATCAATTAAAGCACATTCATTTATATTATCAGAGCATTTCATTGGAAAATAAATCAAACCTATGTAGTTATGAGAGTAGGTTTGCAAAATTTAAACAAAAATGTTTAATAAAAAAAAAAAAAAGGCCAGCTATATGAGTTACAAAGGCTAAGTAATTTAATATTATTATGCTGATTCCAAACCAAAGCAATTTTATGTAGAAATCCTCATTTGTCACTTTTTAGACTTTGCATTTCAGCTGTGTAGTTTAGCCTGACTCCAAAATCCTTTCCTCCACCATTCAAACTTGTGCATCTTATTATAAATCCTACACAAAACCTTTCCACCTATCAATTACGCTGTGCACTGATGCAGTTCAATTACATAATAAATTCAATAACACTGGTTTTTGCTAATATGTGTGTGGTTTGTTATTGTTCTGTATAAACGACAGTGACTGCTATTCAGACAGATTTAGTTATGTTGTACACGAACAGTAACAAACTACTGCAATGAGAATCACAGCTGTGTGAACAAAATCATGCAGCTATAATTAATTATCATTTTTTGTTTCTTTGCATGTTGTTTACACAAAAATAGCATGTATATTTAAATACTCAATTTAGTTATACACAATTTATTTTTCCAATATCTCTTCAGCTGTCGCAAGTCCTGCTCCTGGTTACAAACTACAAACATACAGAGACAGAAGACAAAACTAGTCCATGGATGCAACATGTGGATCAGGTGGTCTGCCCAAGGAGTTACATCTTGTCCAAGGGTTTGATGCCCAGGATGTTGAAACAGGTAGCAATCACTAAAGCTGTAGCTTCACACATCAGCAATCTGCTCATGTTGACCCGCACAATCTGACCTGTGGAGACAAGTGTCATCAGCTTAGCTGAAAGAATATTCTTCTTTTTCTGTTTCTTCTTCACATTCACTGGCTGTAAACTCTGGTGGAAAGTTCTGGCGTCCACTTCTGGACTTTAGTCTTGTTCAAGAATTTAAGTTTTGTGTGCATTTCTGTTTTACATATCTGCCTTATTTGTGAGTAGACTGTCGGGTCCCTGCCTCTAAGGCAGACACACTCCGATCTCGAAGAATATAGCCCTACTTAGACGAATTTTATGCATGCAGATGAGAGACACATGTAGGACATGCTACGGTAGCTAACATAATAATTCCAGGGACGATGTGAGCCTGTTCACTTCTTCAGTTTGTAGTAGTGGGGAACACTGCCATTTTAGAACAGAAAGATTGGATGTGGGAAAATAGGAAGAGGAAAAGGAACCTAAAAGAGTGTACCTAAAGTCCCTGATCTAGAAACACTTGCAGGAAAATAATGTACAAGAGATTTACAAAGGAAATGCTCTTTGATATGCATTAGGTTACCTAAGCAAGTCACAAAGTTAACTAGATGGCTAAATTTACTGCCTTTGAGGGGTAACAGATACTAAAGAAAGACTTGATAATAAACAAAAGTTTTGCAAGTCTTATCAGAAGGTATTAACTTCAGAGTTCAATGTCTGTAATAAACATGATTACTCAAGTAACTGTCTTTGATGGGAAACAGGAGATTGATCTTATGTAAACCCAGTTAAACAAATGGGACAGGGGCGCACATTCTGATTAATACTGTGAACAGATTTGTAGAGATAAACTCTTGCTCCGAGACCACAGGCATATCTAGTAGGTGAAACAAATCTGGCTGATTATAAGTATACTACTGAGACTAATCCTGAGGCATATCAGAAAACAAAGGAAACATTCCTGAATGTATTGTAAGTATTAATATTTAGTATATTAGCCAGAGGGTGATGGCGCTGCACTTGATGATGATGATTATGATGGGCAGTAACCATGGCATGCAACCTATCTAATTAAACCACATGATAACAGCAATGTAATGATGTGCGAAATGTTCATGTGAATGGATATAATGAAAAATACAATTCCTGTGACTGCTGTGTTCATGGAATGCATGCTGATAATCTGATCTGATTCCGTCTGTCTTTATACTTCACCCAGCGATGTTTTCCTGTTACCTATCACTCTGAGGCAATGACATGAATTTCACTTGTTCCAGTTATAAGACCACTGTGGCATTTCCCAAACTATTCAGTATCTGTACAGGACTAGGAAAAACTGTATCAACCTCCACAGGCAGACAGTCTTGTGTTGACTGTTAAGCTATCAATTAATATCACACCACTCAAGACATTCCCATAAGCACTCCATCCACATTTTCAGCAGCCAGTAAAGAGTTGCAGTTCTCATGGTGCCAGTAGCATTCTGATTATATGTCCATTTTGCTTTTCCTCAGTGTCGTGTCAACCAGATCCTTTGGTCACTCCCAGCTGTACCATTCTCTTCAGACCACAATGATGGATTCATGCCTCCGCATTTGTTCCCCTGCTCCTCAAGAGCCTGGACCTCATCTAGCTTGTCCTGCACACATTCACCACCCATCGGTGAAGAAACAGACTTGTCTGCCATCGGTGAAGAAACAGACTTGTCTGCCATCGGTGAAGAAACAGACTTATCTGCCATCGGTGAAGAAACAGACTTGTCTGCCATCGGTGAAGAAACAGACTTGTCTGCCATCGGTGAAGAAACAGACTTATCTGGCATCGGTGAAGAAACAGACTTGTCTGGCATCGGTGAAGAAACAGACTTATCTGGCATCGGTGAAGAAACAGACTTGTCTGCCATCGGTGAAGAAACAGACTTGTCTGCCATCGGTGAAGAAACAGACTTATCTGGCATCGGTGAAGAAACAGACTTATCTGCCATCGGTGAAGAAACAGACTTATCTGGCATCGGTGAAGAAACAAGACTTCTCTGGGAAGTAAACAAAAATATTCAGACAAACAACTGAATATTTAAAACAAAAAATGATTTACCTGTGGTTCTGTCCTTCTCAATACAATAACACTTGTCATAGAACTCAGTGAATGTTGTGGTCAGTTCATACAGGTAGTCACATAGAGTATGCAGCAGCAAGTCGTCCAGTACCTTGGTCACTACTTCTGTGAATCTGAGGATACACTTGGCAAGCTTCCACTCTGCAGGGTGGTCCAAATCCACCAGAGTTGTCTTGGCAGCTTCAGCCAGTTCCTCTGGGCTGACATTGGCACTTCTTGCAATGGACCTGCAAAGGATGGCCATGTAAAAGTAAATCTCATGGAAAGATCTAGCGTTGAAGCATACCCAGACTTACACACAGTTCGTAGTCACTATCTTCTTCTTTGTGTTCACCGGCTGTGAACTCCAGCGGAAAGTTCTGGTTGTTCGTCCACTTCTGGAATGCAGTCCTGTTCCAGAACCTGAGTGTTGCATGTGCATCCGTTTGACAGATCTGTATGCAGACTGTTGGTTCCTTGCCTCTCAGGCAGATGCACTCCGACTTCGAAGGAAGCTCCCAATTAGTCGACTCTTACAACATGCTTTTGGGTAGGCAGTGGGTCTATTCTTGTTTTTCCCACAGTAGAGCCCCGGAACCCACACGGGGAGGTGGGGGGAGGGGGTATTCACTGTAAAAAAGGTCACTCTCTAATTGCTCTATTCCTGCATCTGCGAAAACTTCCCAATACAAAAAGCCTCTCATTATACTATTTACAAACATAACCCTTAACTCCTTAAGGTCGCATAGGTGTATCGATAAAAGTGCTAGCTCATAAAACCCACCATTTTTCGATTGTTGAACAAGTGTAGAATAATTTCTTGATGTCCTTCTAGTTACTTCTTTGCCCCCTCTTCTTCAAATATACCCCTCCACCCCCCCCCCCCCCCTCCATTTTCCTTGAAGTACAGTCTTTACTACCTAATCATGTCTCACTGTATGCCTGACCCAATGAAAACTAATTAATATGATAACACAGGCATTTAACTATAGATCGACAAGAACACATTCTGACCAAAACGTATCTCCATACTGTCTGTTTCACTTGACATGAATGGTATACAGGTATTGAGGTGGACTCGTGGAAACAGAATGCCATGGACCGTGTTGTGTGGAGGGGGCACATCAAGAAGGGAATGAGAATGAGGGAAGAAATTATTGCAGAAAGGATGAGAGTTGAGCATCTGAGAAGAAACAGACCATACACAAATGACAACAACAGAAACATCAGTGTCACACTGTGCACTCTCATCAGTAGCTGGGTAATGGAACTTTTACACTGAAGGCTCATAGCATCCTCAGATGACATGATTAGTCCACTTTCTTATTAATTGGTGGAGAAATCTGTCTTTATTTTAGGACTGACCCAGTTTGTGGAAATAAGTTTTCTGCAAAGGATGATTGAACCTAAATCATAGCAATAGTAAGTTAGTGCACTTTTCATTCAGAACAAAATATTCTATAACAGATCTCAGTGCCAAATACGATATGGCTAAATAAATACTCAGCACAAAATGAACAAAATCTCAAGAATCACAAAAGTCTTCTATAAGTAAGGACTGGTTTTAACAATCATGTATCATGTAATTTTCTACCCATCATGAGCTCACCTGATTCTTGTATTTGCATACAGCAAGTAAGCAGCTGTATTGCCTCTGTCATCCAGCATCTGAAACAAATATTTGAAATTTTCAGTGAATTTCTAAATGTGTAAGTGATTCTAAAAAACAGTTGTAATGGAAGCTCATCAGCAACATCTCAGTTGCTCTCGTGCAAGCAGGAACATACAAGTAATCTACTTGCCCATTTTAATAACTATATTTTAACAAAATAAATATAATAACAATAACAATTGCGGTCATAAAAGTAAAGTAATGATAAAAACAAGAACAATATATTATATAAAAGTGAAAACATTAAAGACAATAATATACTATTCTTGACTAAAACAAGTCATATAAGAAGGTCAATGTAGAGATATTTTCTATTAAAAAAGTAAAGCACCTGCTTGCAAGTATTCTACAGGCCTCCCATCAAAAAGGTAAAGCAGCTATTGCCAGCAGATATTCTACAGGTCTCCCATCAAAAAGGTACAGCACCTATTGCCAGCTTGTATTCTACAGGTCTCCCATCAAAAAGGTAAAGCACCTATTTCCAGCAAGTATTCTACAGGTCTCCCATCAAAAAAGGTAAAGCACCTATTGCCAGCTTGTATTCTACAGGTCTCCCATCAAAAAGGTAAAGCACCTATTGCCAGCTTGTATTCTACAGGTCTCCCATCAAAAAGGTAAAGCACCTATTGCCAGCTTGTATTCTACAGGTCTCCCATCAAAAAGGTAAAGCACCTATTGCCAGCTTGTATTCTACAGGTCTCCCATCAAAAAGGTAAAGCACCTATTGCCAGCTTGTATTCTACAAGTCTCCCATGAAAAAGGTAAAGCACCTATTGCCAGCTTGTATTCTACAGGTCTCCCATCAAAAAGGTAAAGCACCTATTGCCAGCAAGTATTCTACAGGTCTCCCATCAAAAAGGTAAAGCACCTATTGCCAGCAGGTATTCTACAGGTCTCCCATCAAAAAGGTAAAGCACCTATCGCCAGCAGGTATTCTACAGGTCTCCCATCAAAAAGGTAAAGCACCTATTGCCAGCTTGTATTCTACAGGTCTCCCATCAAAACGGTAAAGCACCTGCTAGCAAGTATTCTACAGGTCTCCCATCAAAAAAGTAAAGCACCTATTGCCAGCAGGTATTCTACAGGTCTCCCATCAAAAAGGTAAAGCACCTATTGCCAGCAAGTATTCTACAGGTCTCCCATCAAAAAGTTAAAGCACCTATAGCCAGCTTGTATTCTACAGGTCTCCCATCAAAAAAGTAAAGCACCTATTGCCAGCAGGTATTCTACAGGTCTCCCATCAAAAAGGTAAAGCACCTATTGCCAGCTTGTATTCTACAGGTCTCCCATCAAAAAGGTAAAGCACCTATTGCCAGCTTGTATTCTACAGGTCTCCCATCAAAAATGTAAAGCACCTATTGCCAGCTTGTATTCTACAAGTCTCCCATCAAAAAGGTAAAGCACCTATTGCCAGCAGGTATTCTACAGGTCTCCCATCAAAAAGGTAAAGCACCTATTGCCAGCTTGTATTCTACAGGTCTCCCATCAAAAAAGTAAAGCACCTATTGTCAGCAGGTATTCTACAGGTCTCCCATCAAAAAGGTAAAGCACCTATTGCCAGCTTGTATTCTACAGGTCTCCCATCAAAAAGGTAAAGCACCTATTGCCAGCTTGTATTCTACAGGTCTCCCATCAAAAAGGTACAAGCAACCATGGGAGAGGTTCTGAAGAGCAACAACAGATAGCTCATGGCCACAGTCACCTGTTCTAGATAACAGGCTCTAATGTGACAAGTTTTAGTCATGCACTAGTATGGTCCCCGCCGAAAACACAAAGCAGTGATCCCGCCAAAAACAGAAAGCAGTGATATTATGCCTTTTTCACAGATACCTAGCCCATTATGATTGAAAAAAACTCTTAAGATAAACTGTGTAAATTGGTGCTCCAGTTTTAACCTCAGTAAGGAAAGTCAGGGGCTTAAAGCCACAAGAGACCATCAGTATATCATTTAAGTGCAACAGATTTACAGCGCTTAAACTAGGGACATGGAATGTGTAAGAAAAGAAAGTCACCACTGAGGCAGTTGGAGAAAGAAAGGAAAAGAGAAAGAAAGAAGAAGAGAGATACAGGGGGAAGAAGGCAACAGGGGGTGCGGGCCACCCTGGGTATCATCACTGTAAGGAAAGGGGAGGGGTGTGTGTGCACCCATCCCAGGTGTCATTACTATGGGGTAGGGGGTGGCAAATGTGTTTTTAAAATTACGTATATTTAATGCCTATGAATGTGGAGGCTGGGGGGGGTATATAATGCACCGGATACTAGCTGACTTTGCTTGCCAACTGAAGGGAGGAAAAGGTGACGAGGAGAAACCAGACAGGCCAAGATAGCTAGCTTTCTCTGCATCATCCATATCCTATCCCGTAAGGTAAAAAATGAGATCGTGAAACACCTAACACATGCCCTGCTCACCGATTGCTGCACATATTTAAAACCTTGTCTTTTGGTATCTACTGACACGTTCATTTCTCAGCATTGATGCCATTTGCCTAAAGAGTTGATTTGCTCTGTTACATCTGTCATCAATCTCTCTTCTGATTTGCCGGCTGATGATATTATGCATCCTAGTGATTATTTTAATAAAATGTTGCTGGTCTGATCAATAAACTGCTGTGTAACTGTACACATTTGTGTATCACCTATTTTCGTATTGGACAAGTAATTTTACAGCAGCAGTAAAATATATGAAATACTGGCACCAGTTGCAATACAGTCAACAAAAACAAATGATGCAAATTTAAATTAACTAAAACAAACAACAACAACAAAAAACAGCAGCATTAATCAGAAGCATCAACAATACACAAACCTTGTCAAAGGAGAATACATAGTCATGAGTTCTGTTGTGTGATAGGTCAGCATATTTAATGCATCCATATGCTACAGACTCCTTCACTTTCTGCACTTCCTCTGCTGTTAACTCCTGCATTGAGTAGACCACATAAAAATCATAGTTGGAATCATTATTTCAAAGTCTTTCCCACTTCTTCAGCTCTTTTTTTTTTTCAATTAATTGTACTCACTGTCTAGGTTTGAGGGCCCCATTGTGGGGGGGGGGGGGGGGGGCGGCGCACAATAGACCCACTGCCACTCCAATACACATGTCGTAAGAGTCGATCTTTTTCACAGTTGGAGTGCCTCTGCCCGAGCAGCAAGGAACAACCAAATGGACACAAATAAGCCAGTAAAATGGATGCACATGCAAAACTCAGGTTCTGGCACAAAGCCAAAGTCCAAATGGACAAAATACCAGGACTTTCCATCAAAGCTTACCGCTGGTGAACAAAGAATAAGAGGCATTAATTGTACAGAGGAGAAGACTAGTATGATTCTAAAACTACTGTCACGGTGACAAATTACAACAGGACTAAATGACACTACACCTCTTGCATGACATGATCTGACTTTAAACTAGAAACATGATGGAAGTGAACAAGAAAAACATATTCTTAAATTGATCCATGCATAACCGAGTGGAGATACTGCATTAGGATCAACTAAGAAGAGCACAATTCTTCAACAGGATATCATTTTCTTGACTCTGGGCACATAGCTGATAAGGACTGTACCCTTCAGAATTCATTATCATACTGAATAGATGTTTACTAAAACTAGCTGAGGCCATATCAATTTAACAACTCTTCTGTTTGAGGTCAACAAAAAAAGAATCACAGGAGAAATTTTGGCTCTCCTCCGAACTTCTTGAACTTCGGGCACTTAAGATGGCGGCCGCAAAATATCCTTTCGAGCCACAGTCATGTGACTTAATTTGTGGTTCTCTGGCGACTACCGCCACCGTCACGAGTCCCCCACACCACTCACACAGCATGGATTGGGGCTAAACTAGATGGTTAGGACTCACGAGCAAAGCTTCAGGAGATGCGGAAGCTGCTGCTCGTGGGTCCTAGCCATCTAGTTTAGCCCCAATCCATGCTGCATGAGCAGCGTGGGGGACTCGTGGTAGTCGCTGGAGAACCGCAAATTACGTCGCTGGAAGTGCGCAATTGACACGTGACTGTGGCTTGAAAGGATATTTTGCGGCGCGCCTTCTTTAGTGCCCGAAGATCGGAGGATAGCTGAAATTTTAAGTTACTATGGTTGTCATGATCTTAGATTTCTGGTGCAGAGATGTAGTCTAACTTGAGGATGACAATGTGATTTTGTATTCCAGCCAAAAAGGATTCATTCTTGTGCCTCATTATATGTTGATGTGACTCTGCAGTAATGCATCCAACAAGCTACAATAAAATATGCCAAGCAATAAATTGGGCAATCTACTGTTTGTGTCTGCATTATTTAAACATGGATAAGAGTCAGAAAATATGGATTTGGAAAGCACTTTTCTCTAAGTAATGCGATGACATGCTACAGACAAGAGAATATCAAGATCTGAACAACAGCAACACAATTTGGCAGTTATGAAATCTCTTCAGGGAGCAATTCTGATCCTGACAAATTATACAGAACCAAAGAAACTGTGATTACAGAACAGAGCCTATACAGCTTTTGGAATCAGAGCTATAAAGGGGAAGGTCATGACCATCAGCAGGTTTTTAATATAATGGACACTTTTCACCTTTAAAAAAAAAAAATTAATCTGCCACAGGACTGAAGCCACTTATGAAGAGCAGGACAAAGACGGAAAGCCTTGCCACTGTGCTATAACGCTGTAACAAGGGAAAGAAGAACACTCCACTCCGTTCAAGCATGTAAAACAGCTATATTAGGGTTACAAACAAAATCCACACCAAGAACATATTAACACAATGGAGAAAAGGGGGAGGGGAACTATTCACATAGTATAACTTCCATTGGGAGATGGGTTGAAGTTAGCTGACAAGGAAACAGATAAACCTGTGGAAGAAACATGAATAACCTAGGCTTAATGTAAATCAGTCCACAATTCATTTGAGTATTCTTGCAGGTAAAAGAAAAGGACCATAGGGATACAGCAACAAAAATCAGAGCTGGGCAACATAACAAGGAAATTTTTTAGAAATTATCAACTTACTTGTAAGCTCTAAACAGCCTGAACAATTTAATGAACCATACGTTCAATAGTTTGAAGAATTGAAAACATAAAATGATCCTACAGATATCCTGCCAGCAGACGTCAGACTGGATATCAAGTCTTAAATAATATGCAAAGAAGAAAATATGGAAGCTATCAAGCCTTTGAAGGATGGAAAGAATGCTGGTCCAGATGATATCCCAGAAGAAGATATTAAAGCTATCCTAAAATATTGTAATAAGGTGTGCTTTAATATACAGGAGTGCATTTAAAACATTAAAAACAAACTATACAAAATTAACAGAGAAACCAGACCTGATCTCTTCCTGTTTCCTTCATGCGGGCCTCCACTCGCTTGATTCCCTCGTCCAGCAGATCCCGCAGCTTCACTGTATCTCCTGATCGAGATTTGTACTTCTTCCTGTAAACAACAATACATACACTTGATAGAAGTTGTGTAGTTACACTCCTCATAATACCGTCATACAAACACAGCCATAAGAAAAGACAGAAAAACTTATGGAATGTGAAGGGGAGGACAATTCCTGGAACCACTGAATGAAACATGAGACTCAGAGTTCACGTAAGCTAGGAGGGATTATCAGAAGCCGAGAATGTGAGAGAAGACAGTTCTGTCTTATGGTGCTTGAAGAGCGGGCGATTGAATGTCTGTGAGTGAATCTGTGTGAGAATCTGTACAAGTGGTCAACAACGGTGATTAATCCTGGCTATGACAAATGGTACACAAAATGGTTGCTTGAAGTGTAAACCTTTGTTTCAAGTCTGTTGAATTTGTTGTTTTAGACAAGTCGACCCTGAGGGTGTACTTCAACAGGGTAACTATAACTTAGCTGCTTGATATCCTGTGAGCTTGATTACGGCTCTAAATATAGACAAATCGACCTTTAGTGATCACTGATGAAGAGAAATCTGTGTGAAAACAGTTGTATCAGCTGACTTCAGTTACCATCATGTTTCTTTTCAAAGTCTGAATGTCGTTTGTTAATGTAGCTAGAGAAGACTGCCAACCAAAACAAGTGCAGTGCACTCGCCATCCCTAAGGAGTCTGATTCCCATGTGTTTTTATAGCACAATATAGCAATATTGTCTGCAAAGACAAGAAAGGTGTGGCAGGGCAGAAAAGTGTCATGGCAGCAAAGAGACTATCTTCCCTTCCCTTGGAAATGGACAAACATAGCATTTATTACTTGGCACAGCAAAGATCATTGTCTAGATTCCCTTCCCTAGCAACCTTCCCTTCCCTAGCAATCTTCCCTTCCCTAGCAAACAGTAGGACAAATATAAGATTTATTACTTGGCACTCCTAGATGTAGAGGAAAGAGGCAGATATTTACAAATGCCAATCAATGAAAGTCAGTAGGTTTACCTTGCTGTTTCAAGGGTTCCCGGTGATTTATTTGGTTACGTATTTTATAACAAAGTAATTTACTGGTAAATATAGTATCATCAGTTCATTTGCTTCAGCATCATGGTCAACATAAGATGTATAAATATAGTGTGACCGTGGCACTCAAATGTCCTTTATTTCAGCAGATTTCTTCAGCTGTCCATAAGTCTGAACCAAGAATTTCATATATGATTTGCTGTATATTGTTATTCTTTAACCTTTATGCATTTTCCCTTTTGCATGTGCAAGTTACGCAATTTTGCTGGGACTGACAAGTTTTTCTCTAATTTTCTAAGTGGACAGAGAGGGACATTTTGTGTTACTATTTCCACATGAATATGTTTTCTTTTTCTTTTACATGCAAAACATTCTTCCCCCCTAAATAGTTTGTATGCAGTTCCTCAACATTGAAGCTCTATAGTCAAGATGGGCTTTAACTCTAAACAATAGGGAACAGTGAAAATCATTCAAAATATTACTTTGAAAAATTGAGCTTATATCCTACAGTTGACAAGAGGTTGTTCCTGAACTATGATTAGGACTGTGTCACTGCACTGTAGGTGTGCAGACATGTGCAATTACGGAAGACAAATTGAAATAAGCACTCTTTTAGAGTTGAGTTGGGTTGATTCAAGAACCGACATCACAGCACTCAGGGCATTCCCATAAGCGCTCCGTCCCGATCTTCAGCAGCCAGTGAAGAGTTCCGATGCTAATGGTGCCAGTAGCATTCTGATTAAATGTCGGTCTTGCTTTTTCTCTGTGCCGCGAGCATCTGCCAGAACCTCTCGTCACTTCCTCCTGCATCAGTGTCACCAGACTGTGGTGATCCATCTGCTCCTCCGAACTGTACACGCTCTCCCACAAGACGGTAACCACGTCTGCTTATCATGCATCAGTAATCCACCAAGTTGTGCAGAGCCAGCCAGCCTGTCCGCCTGTTCATTTCCAAACACACCGGCGTTTCCATGAAAAAAAAAATCAAGACAATACTCCCAACCTGTCTCCTCCGCAGTGAAGCATGCCACTCTGCATGAAGCATGCCTGTCCTGATCTTCCTAAACATGCTTTCTAAGTCAGTTGCAATCACGATGTGTGTGTGTCGTGTTCTGTAACCAGCGGAAAGCTGCAGGGACCGCCTCCACCTCAATTTTTAAGCTGGATGTTGTAGTATCAAATGCTAGGCTCTCCTGCACCAAACGTTGACCATTAACTTTAGCTAAGAAGCCCCAAGCACTTCTTTTGCCTCTTGACACTGAACCGTCTGTATAAATAATCAAATCCTCTGAGCAAGCAGTATCTTGAATTAACTGCTGAATTTCCACCTCCGTTGCACCTGCTGACCAGTCTCTGCATTCCCGGCTCAGTGTGATTATGACCCTACACAAGCACTCTTAGAGCAAAGGGCAGCATGCAGGCTGGGGGTGGGGGGTGGACATGCTTATTTTAGAGGACGCAACAAATATTTGTGAATAAGCATTCCAAAGCAATCCCTCTGAAGGAGTCGCAAATTTCATTGCTGCCAGCCATTTGCCTCAACTCTGCAGCATACAGGGCTCGTCTGGCATGGGTGATAACTTCACATCTCTTTTATACGAGACCTCCCAAACATCTCAAGTCGGGTCAGGGGTAAGACATCTATAGTTAATTTTATCAATCAGTCAGTAGCCTTTTCTTTGCAGAACCTTGCTCCCATAACAACCTTCCGGAAAACTCATTGATCACAAGCAAGATGTCCCGCGTGCTATACACCCATCTGGAGATCATCCGCCACATCCTGCACCCATCTTCTCTTTGGCAAATAGTAGAGAAGTAAAATCGATCGGTGACTACACAGCTTTATTTTCTCCCAGTTCAGTAAATTTGTTGAGAGAGAGAGAGAGAGAGAGAGAGAGAGAGAGAGAGAGAGAGAGAGAGAGAGAGAGAGAGAGAGAGAGAGAGAGAGAGGGACAGAGACACAGAGAGAGACAGAGAGAGAGACAGAGAGAGAGACAGAGAGAGAGAGACAGACAGAGAGACAGAGCACATCGGAACGGAAAGTGAGAAAAAATTATTATTTTCCAAACGTGGACATTCCCCATTACTCCCACCACCAATTTACTTCAAGGGCACCAGCGAACAACTGGCTAGGGACATAAGGGTAAATCAGGTCAATAGCCGCCATCTTGTGCAATTGTGCTGTTCCCACGGTTTCTCTGCTGGATAAAAACTACGGAAACTATGGCAACATATTATAAATCTTCTTTTCTCTACTCCTGGAATGCCTTGCAGCGCCAAGGCAGGAAGAGATCGCTCTGTATATAGTACTGTAAATATCAGTCGATATTTTTAAGACGGTTGCAATCCTCCTCCCCCTCCTCCCTCTCTTTCTCTCTCACCATACATTCACATAATTTCCAGCTCTCTGTCTGATGATGTTTGCATGTCTGCTCACCCGTCGGTATATAATAAGATACCCCCCGTTCTACGTTTGTTCACCAGTATTATACATGACGAATTTGATTATGTCCCCTGTTGGACGTTACGAGGCATAGGAGAATGGTAGTCGTTGCCAAGGAGGAGAGAGTTGCTTTCCCTTTACGCTAGTTCTGCCGTTGATATTGCCTGCTCCACATCTGTAATACATCCATAACGCCGACGGTTCATCATTTCTTCCCAGTGTGTTTTTAGGTCTTCCTTTATTTCTATGCCCCTGTGGGTTTCATTGCAACGATTTTTTTAGTCAGACTGTTTTCAGGTTTTCTCAATGTCTGTCCTATCTAACGCCAGCGTCTTTTCTTCACCCCTTGGTCGACACGTTTACTGGGAAGACAGTGGATCTATTTTTGTCTCCCCCCCCCCCCCACCCCTCGGAACCCAATAGGGACCACATCAAACAAAAACCCAAAACAATTGTTGACAAAAACTGAGCACTAGCCACTGCGCTTCCAAGGCATCACGATTTATATTACTAACGCAGCCATCTCCAATGTACTTGATTTTCGTGATTGCTGGTATTGCAAATGGCCGACAATCATCTAAAAGTGCCGGTCTCTCCACGACCCTGACTCACTTTATTTTCTCATCCTGACCTTACATCGTCAAACGCCTGGGCTGGGTCCCTCTCATTACAATCAGCCTTCAGATTGTGTTCGATGTTTTCTTACCAAACCCTGTGGCAATTCGTCTTCTGTCAAATGAGATCGGATCCCTTCAGCCTGGCTGCTTAAGCTATATAGCAGCAGTCGCAGCTATTGATCAGGACTGCGAATCTGAATAACAATTCAGTATGGGGGGGGGGGGGGGGGGGGGGAATCGGGACAGCAATGCCTGCTTATGTTAGCAATAGTGGCAGGAAAAGCTAACGGATGGATGAGAAATGTCGAACGAAGAGAGAGAAAGAAGTGCCCATGGCTTCGTTTGTAAAAACACCTTTCATGCAAACTTCGGTGTAAACACGAGGGAGGGGGGGGGAGATGACACGTGCTTATAATGAATAGTCCATTTGTCTTATGTGTTTAAGTCCACAACAACGCACTGATTTTATCTTCATATTCAGTAAAATAGGTTTAAAATAGGTGGCAGTAAATCCACATCACTTGCCAGAATGGCATACTTGGGAATTAAGATCGGCATAGCAAAAAACTAGATGCACATCAGAAACGCCAGAAGACTTGTTAATCAACATAGAACTGGTACTATTAGCCATCGGACGTTGGGGTTTATACTGAGGGGAGGATCTGAGCACCTATGGACATGTCCGGAGTGCAATGATGATAACCCAACTAACTAACTATGTTTAAAACAATGTCATGGGAAGGAAATGCGATTGGCTTAGTACTGACATCACCCGCCGAGAGTCGGTATATTTGCTCCCCTTCTCTCGTCCAGGCTTTTTAGCCCGGCAGCTGCCTCAGTGTCCATGATGGTGTGTTTCTAAGACCTCCAGTAAAATGTATTCTGAGCCCTGAGCTCTGTGTTTTGTCCAGCTTTTGGAGATATTTTATACTGCGGTTGTATATGCTCTTATTCCG